ATGGATGGGTGGATAGATGGATGGATGACAAAAATCCTGAGATAAATAAATAAATGAATGATGTAGACTGATAATTATAGAAAATTAAAAAAATATAGACAGTCAAAAATTTGAAATATAAATGGGTGCAAACTGTAGGCATCTCTTAATATCATATTTTACACTTACATATCAATATACAAATTTTCGGGATTTGTCTTTGCATTTCATTTCTTTGGACRTAATCAACAAACTTTGCCAAGGCATCYGCTATTCCAGATGTTCCTCCTCTTCCTCCACAAARCGAGTAMAAGKTGGGGCAACWACACATGCTCAAATTCTTWGACATTTCTTTCACAAGGAYAGCAACATCTGATTCTTGTCCTCTTGGGGCAGATGAATTTGTATTCCTTTTGGTATGATGGTTACCAAACTTTATAAGAGCAAGTTCAATGTTGTGGCTCAGTAGYGGCTCTTTACAGCAGGTATTTAATGCTTTTTGACTGGCATTAATCATGCCTTTGCACATATGTGTGCYGCCAGCAGCATATCCCATTTCCACAGCGAAAAATAGATGAACGCAATCTCTAGTGGTGTAGAAAATAGACTTGGAAACTATCAAAAAAGCACAAAAATCGCAAAATTACTGATTTTGAAATTTAAGTATAATTACTCTTGTTTCTCACTATTGAGAATGAATTTGGTTTTAATGATATCTGGATTATATTGCTCAATGTCTCGGCAAATGTTATTGGCAGAAGCTGTCCGCAGACTTAATTACCTCGGCATTGATAATTCCAGGTATCATCAAAACATTATACAATGATTGGTTATCATATGATGAATCTATTTATAAGCTATGAAAGCTATATAGAAATTGTTGATCTTTGGAATATAGTTAAAGGAACTGTCTCTGAAAAAATCAGATCCCSTGATAGGARGGTCATGGGTTCAATTCCTATCAGGGACTCTGATTTTTTTCTGATATATTATTAGCTAGAGACAAATGATCCACAATTTAGTTATTGTTAGACCTGTCAGGGTTAATAACTCGCTAATTAAAACAACTAACAACCCTCTTTTACTCCGAACAAGGACTAGCGTCCGAAACGTCAGTAAGTTTTTTCATCTTTTCACGATGTATAATTTACCTTTTTGTCATTACTGTTTCATTAGAAACACCGACGCAGCTCACACTATTTTTTAGCTAGTTATCTCTAAACAACCCTCACAGATAAACACAGATCCTCTTATCCTCTTGGGGATGGCCTAAAAGGATCTCTGTTTCAGTACTAGAAAATATAAACACACTAGTGAAAAATAAACTTACTTAGTCTTGTTTCTGTTCTGTCTAGTTCTTCACGTTCCCCAACGATTTGATCTTGATATTCCTTAGCCTTCTTCGCCAAGTCATGTCTGTTTGCCGCCTCTAGCGCCTCAATTAAGAACTTMACGTTGTATTCGCAAATAACCTYGTGTTTTGTCAAACATAAGAACCAATTCAACCCAGAGTATTCCTCCTCGGCTTTGATGGATTCGAGAACACCACCAGGGACTTTATCCAACGTTAGGTGTTTCAAAACTTTAACATCTCTAGTTAGAAGCTCAAGCGCGATTTTTGTAGAGAACTTGTGAAAAGGGTTGATGGCGTTGTTACAAGTCTTGGTTGAGTTCAGCGCCATTTTGGAATGATTGAAGAAGCTTTGCTCGATCGATCGCTTCACTTCACTTCAAACCTAACTAGTCGTCGCTTTGAACTAACATCCAGCTTAGATTCTGCGGAATTTTGGATGAGCTAAATTACTCAGAACCTTAAAAATCATTGGAAAAAGTCAAAAAAATAGGGATTTTTCCCTCATTTCGTGATTGTCTGATGGGTATGTGCATGTCATGACGGGAAGGGGGGAATCCCCCAATGAAAATTATGAGCACACAGGGATCCCAAAACATTACTTATGACATAAATTATCATAATTTGTCTAGTTTAAAAAAACTGCGTTTTAAATCCTTGTTTCTTTTTTCTTAATACATATCGTAGTGAAAGAAATTACTAGTCAAGGAGTTTAAAATTTATGTTAAAATTCCTCGTTTCTCTTCAAATTTACCGCAGCGTTGGCATCTAATGAGCTCATCGCTCTCTCTAGTTCTCCATATAACCTTGTTAGATGTCCTTTATAAGCACTGTATGACTTCTTGAGACTCAGTACCCTCACGGACAGAACACCTTCGATGTCTGGTAAAGTACCGATCCCCTTGATCGGGTGCATTTGACTCGACGGGCAACCTGTGGTCGACGATCATTAACATACAGCGGCAATATGTCTGTCGGTATCGTTTGATCGGCAAACCAAGCCATGATGCTTGGAAAGACAAATAAGCGAAGAATTTCAACCAAATCCAACCAAAACCATCAAAATTCATATTGAAGCATTATGGCAGACCTCAGAGAGTTAGGGAGTAGTGGCTGTTGCAAGCAAAACTTTCCTCTGAGGCTATGGGCACTAGTCAAAAGATGCAAATAGCGGTTTGCAGTGGTTTGGGTTCAGAATTTGCTTGAAAATGAAACACACGTGATCATTCCTTCGCTACAGCGCATCGTATGGAGTTATGCTCAGTGGCAATCTGCTTGCGACCACATGATAAAAACCATTCCCGGGATCGAGTTCGTAAAAGGCATACCGCACGACCTGGATGAAGATGATTATTTTAACCTTAAGATTAATAATTTGATTATGATTGACGACCAAATGACAGAGACGTCCAATGATAAGAAAATCATGAACTTATTCACCAAAGGATCTCATTATCGAAACCTGAGTGTCACTTTTCTTATGCAGAATCTTTACTTTCAAGGAAAAATTATTCGCACCCCGAGTCTGAATGCTGCATACCTCGTTCTTTTCAGAAAACCCAAGAGATAGACTACAAATACCACCCATACTCAAAACAATACAGAATTTAAAGGAACAGATGGAAAACATTCTTATGGAACCCATCAATGTTCCCGCGGAACTGAAGATCAAAGAATACACTAGACTCTACAATCGATACCTCAACAGCAACTTCCAAGCACTGTTATATACACCCCAAGCAGGAAACCATACTACCGCCCTTGACAAGTCAAGAGTCTTTCAATGCCATCACTTAGTTTTACGACTCCAGAAAACGTTTCTTCAACTAGTCTCCTTCCTTTCTAGAGCGGTTAACGTCGATAATTAGGACCCCTTCTTTCGAACCCAGTCGAGCGAAATCCTCAACTTAACCGAGGTTCCTCCCGTTACTCCAAAGTGAATATCCAGTACTAGTTTTGAACAACCCTCTCCTACTTCATCCTACTGCATCGTTCAGCACTCCCAAAGCACAGACTCTACCTCCCCCGCCATATTTCTTACCCACTCTACCACCAAGTAAAGAAAAACCAGTCAAGTGGATAAGTTATCAAGATGCTCATAAATGTAAAGATGTAGTAACGCCTCCACGACGTTCAGAACGATTGAGAGCAATCGCGAAGTGGGAACATTGCTAAGCAGTAACCGTGTTCTGACTAAACTGTAAACCAATAAAGTTGTACTGTCGAAATATGCAAAATAAAGAAACTTGAGTGAAAAACACTTGTGGTCAATATTTGCTGCATTCATTATACATAATATGATAAACACAATATAGCATGCAAGTTTAACAAATTCACGTTTTATGATAATCATTGTCTGTATGATCTCCTACCCGACCATAGAAATCGCAACCTGCATAATCGAGGTCGAGTATAACTAAATTCTTTTTTGCGGATACGAAAATGTTTGCGTCCACACGCAGCGCATTCGAATCGTTTTCACCGTCCACACGTGTCCGTTTTCGTAAAATTGGCGGATACGGTCACAAAAATTTGAGGACACGTGTGGACGCAACCCGCATCCGTTAAAAAAATTGCGGATACAAAAATTTCCGGATACGTGTGGACGGGGCCTTATTCATTATTTGCATATCGCAGCGACAGTTGCGCGCACTGAGGCGAATCCAACTGGCAATCACGCAGCTAAAAGATCAAGAGAAAATAGTTAACGCTTTTAAATCTCTCTTTGTATGAAGAGCCCCAAAATAAATGTAGAATATGATCTCAAGACCCCTATGAATCCCAAAACGTTTGAAAACGGTCTATTATAGCATCATCATAAAGGTAAAAGTAATTTGTTTTACTTCGATAACGCGGGGAGTGGTTGCACACTGATCTCCCGAGCCATATCATCCGGATATCATCATCACCATCATTAGATCATTATCACCAATCATCTCCATCATGTTCAGACGCTGGATTATCAATGATCATTGATCAAATTCATTATCATATCAGTCATAATAAATGTTGAGTGAGAAGAAGGAAGCAATGGAAAGGAAAAATAAAATTTTGGTTAGTTTTAAGAGAAATAGAGGAAAACAATTTAGAATGTTGAAATCTTTGATTTATTTCTGTTTAGAATCTTATAAATTGGAAAAGGTAATGTGCTCACTTTCAGGTCACGCGATCACTTCTAGGTCACGCAATCACTGTCAGGTCACGCGATCACTTCTAGGTCACGCNTCAGGTCACGCGATCACTTCTAGGTCACGCAATCACTGTCAGGTCACGCGATCACTTCTAGGTCACGCGATCACTTATAGATCACGTGATCTCTTACAGGTCACGTGACACTATAAATTCAAAATGTGTGGATTCTATTTATAAATTGCACTTTAAGGCTAGGTCACTACAAATTCAAAAATATGTGGATTCTATTTATAAGTATAGCACTTTGAGGCTTAATACTAATATACGACTAGTCTTATTATAACAAACACTGCCATCTTATGACATTATAATAAACTTAATTAATATTTTATAAACACAAATTTTCTCATTACAATCTTGGGCTGCATTTATTATGTGCACCATAAATTTATTAGCTTTGAGGATCATCTATCTATCGGCCAGGAAGGGCTGGCACAATTTAGCATGCGTGCCTCTGAACGTTTACTCATAAAGTCTGACAGAAAATTCTGGATGCAGTGCAGGCTAGCACAATTAAGGGGGAGCTGAAAATCGTTGTGGATCTGAAACATTCATTTATGGGTTTTAGGCTTAACTCTAATCCTAACCCTAACCCAATGCAAATATTTCTTGTTTATATCTAATTATTGATGAAATATTTATTTATCTCTATTACTAAGAAGTGATAGAGTGCACGCACTAAACCTGCTTACAATAATTACTACCAATTAGTACTATTTTATACAGAATCCTTTGTTTATTATTGTTTACTTATCACTATTTAGTACTAAAAGTTAGTATTTGTTTCATGGGTTTAGTGCGAGCACTCTATCTTTACATATGATATTTATAATGATATCTTTACGTGCCAAAAAATACAACTGGTAAATATTTCTTGTTTATATATAATCATCAATGAAATATCTACATGTGAAGATATTTAATGATAGCTTTACATGTAAAAACAACACCCTTGGTATGAATTCTTAGGAATTGTATAGATAGCGAAAATCCATCACAGTGAATTGTAAATAACATATTTCATCAATAATTTTATATTAAGCTGAATACTACCATACATAAGCCACTTGGAGATATGGATTTTATCTTCTCTCACGTCTACGTTCAAACATAAAATCTGTTATCTCTGCACAGCTATCAATAATTTGATATTAAACAGAATACTACCATACGCAGCCACTTGGAGATATGGATTCTATCTTCTCTTGCGTCAACGCTCGAACATAAAATCCATATCTCTGCACGGCTATGTAACATCCTCTATGTCTTCATGATGACCAAGGAAATGGTTTCAAACCATTCGAAATTATTTTTTGATAAAAATTTGATTCATATTTTCAGGTTTCTTATCCTGGATTTATTAGTTTCACTATTTAATAACAACCGATGCAGATTCTTTTAATTGCATCAATCAAGAGGTTTCCATGACAACACTGCCAAAAATGTACCTGATGAATTGCCATGGAAATGCCTTGATTCAGTGATGTCCACCAAAACCTACTTCATTGCGAGGACAATTTATAGCATTCTGTACATGTTACTTTCAACAAGTGTAAGAAGAATATTTCACAATAAAAACTTTTTTTGTCTTTAAAGACAATTGTGAACACCTAAAATATGTCTGGAATGTTAAACATAGGCCAGAAAATACCCTTACATACTGAATTGTCAAAAGTAAGTGCATTGTTATCAATTTCTTTAGAGAAGATAAAAACATTAGTTGCAAGAGTTTAGTCAAAAATGTGAAACTTAGTGGAGTAGTGAGAGTCCCAGAGATATGGGATCAGCATGCATTTTGTGGCAAAGTTCTCTTGAAATTAGTCATAAGATAAGATTAGTCGTAAGTGTTAAAGATTACAATCCCTCAAAAGGGAGAGTTTTCAAATAATGGTATTATTATTGATAGTAAATGATAGAGTAAATTGATAGAGTAAATCATTCTTATCATTAGTTCACATTCAGCAACATTTCCATTCATCACCATCACCATCATCACTATTACCATCACCATCATCATTATCATCACCACCATCACCATCATCATTACCATCACCATCACATCACCATCACCATCACCATCACCATCACCATCATCATCACATCACCATCACCATCACCATCACCATCACCATCACCATCACCATCACCATCACCATCACCAACATCATCATCATCACCACGATCACCATCATCACCATTTACTATCAACACCACCATTATCACCATCATCATCAGTATCATCTTCATCTTCACCATCACCACCATCATTAGTCTGCCAATACTTAACCAACAGTGCAGTGATATCTTACTAATACCGGACAATCAAACGGCTAATGATCAAGAATGTCTTACCATCATATACAACTGGAACACATTAATATTTCTCTGTGGTTGGTCTGTAATAGGCACTTCTCTCGATCTGTCTCCTCACCATATGAGCTGACACCTCCATATCAGGATTCTTCTTCACACTTACAAACTCTTTTCTCTCTTTCTTGGATTTACACTTTTGCTTTCCTTTAGCATTTGAGGAAGTGGTAGAGCTTTGCTTCTGCATCACTGAAACTTGCTTGGAAGCAATTGGCCCTTTGTCGGTCACTTTCAGGTGCTTTTCCAAGCTCTTAACACCAGCAATAGCATCATCAAGATTATTAGCCCACGACACTCGCTCTGCTATCTGTGAAATGGGTGTTAGAGGGGTCCCCCCATGMGTAATGCAATCAAGCTTACAAGACCGCAAGCATAAGTTGTTATGGAGGTATTCTGTGAGATGGACATCATTGACGTCACCA